TAGAGCAGTTTAAGTTGTTTACTACAGTTGTATAACGTTGAATCGTTCAACTGTTATACACCGAGGAGCCAGATTTACAGTAGATCTCTTACGCAGCGTCAGATGTACATTTAAAGTCATAACGTAAAACTCCGAATAAACGGAGAGGTGAATGTGAGGTAATAACTGAGGTAAACTCACCTTGCGCCCGCAGCAGCCCGCACAAACTCAACAACACGATCATGTAGAGATCCATTATCCAGACGCTGGAGTGTTTATTAAAGTAAAACACGATGAGAGAGTCGCATTTAGATCTGATGCAGACTCTTGTCAGAGCTTTAATGAGGCCGCGGCCGTTGCTGCGCGTTCTGGGGGGCAGGACCACCGGTCGCGCGCACCACTGTCACACGCGCGCGAGCATTAAGCACGAGCTTTATCAGATGAATGAATCCAGAAACTTCAGACTTTTACTATGGTAAGGGGTTGATAAGTTTAAGGCGAACGTCTTTTTGATTAGCTGATCGATCAATATGGTGTAATAAAACATCGTACATAGTTTATGTTATGACGAAAATAGGCTAAGTAGTACTATTTTGGAATCATACTATAGTAAATTGTATTATACTGCATATATTACAGTATTAATAACCCTTTAGTAATGAATGCTACAGCATAGTGTTATGTTTGTACTGTAGTGAGCTGGCAGACTAATATTAGCAGGTTTTTACTACAGTAAGCCGTGTTGTGGTGTATACCAGCTGTTGAAAACTACAGTATTTGGGTCATTTGTTTATATTACTTTGTTATCATAGCTAATATAGAATTACCATAACATATAATACTTCATATAACACTCTCATATAGTTATTTATAGTTTAAAAACACTTATTATGAATTACTAGGATTGGGAAGGCTAAATTGTCTGTAGTGTATGTGTGTATGAAGGTGATTCCCAGTGATGGGTTGCAGCTGGAAGGGCATCCGCTGTGTAAAACATATGCTGGATAAGTTAGCGGTTCATTCCGCTAAGGCGACTCTTGATAAATAAAGCTAAGCTGAAAAGCAAATGAATGAATGAATGCATTACTATTGTTTCTTCATGTGTTTATTGTCGTTTTTCAGGAGTTATAATCACAATGATGCACTTTTATAATACTGGGTTCTATTTTGATGGGTTTTGTGCGCTTGTGCTTGCGTATTTGGTTTTAACCCCAAAAATTACACTTAAATTATTAAACGACATTCTGAAGCTTCTTAAAATAGTTCCTTATTGGATTTGTTATGAATTAAAAAATTTTAAAGTTGGCCAGGCTTTGTTAGGGTAATTATTTAAGTGAGTTAAATATCAATTTATTTTTAATTATGTAATAAATATTACATTTTAAATTTAATTTAATATGGTGTAAATTCAGCCTGATCTCATGAAGAAACGTAAGTATTTTACGTTTTGTCAGTTTAGTGGCTAATTCGTACGAATTCGTACAAGTTCAGTCGTATAAAAATACGATTTTAAAAAGGAGGCGTGGCCCCTAACCCCACCCCTAACCCCAACCGTCATTGGGTGATGAGCAAATCATACTAAATAGTACGAATTAGATCGTACAAATTCATACGAATTAGCCACTAAATCAAAAAGTTACGAATTGCCGTGAGATTGTGTTGGTAAATATGATTTTGAACTATTTTGTTGGTTCCAGAAGTATTTTTTTCCATAGGGATGAGAGTGTATTTTCCCAAATGCTTTGAAGTGTTTTAACCCATGAACTAAGCAACCGGTAGCACAGACTGACAATAATTTAAAGCAAAAAGCTACATGAAGCATTGTAAATGATACGAATGCAAATTAAAAATGCAGTTTAAAAATGTTGGGTTGTTGATACAATGTTAGATCAAATATGGAAAACCCAACTGTTGGGTTAAAAAAATATTGAAAAAATTAAGCTAACAATATGTTTCTCCTTAATTAATCCAATGTTGGGTTAAAAAAAAAACAGTGTAATTGTATCGAACATTATATATAAATATTGCAAGTCATTCAGTAGTCATAATGTTTACTCTAAAATATGCTGGGTTGTTTCAACCCCAATGTTGGATCAAATATGGAAAACCCAACTGTTGGGTTAAAAACAAAGTCATTTATATTTAATTGAAAACATTAAGTTAACGTTGGGTTTCTTTCTAATTGATTCTACATTTTTAACCTCTTATTTTTATAGAAGTAGTTCGATACAGTTTACTGCCAAAACATAAGCTGGAATAGTTGATGGTTCATTCCACTGTGGCGACATCTGAAATAGAGACTCAGCCAAAGGAAAATGAATGAATAAACTTTTTTAGGTTGTGTCTATCCATATTTGACCCAGTGTTGAGCTACAACAACCCAGCGAGTTTACTTTTCTGCACAGATTATGTGGTTAAATATGATCATTTTAAAAATAAGTGAATGTGAACAGATAGGGTTAACAAAAGCATAGACAAACACTGAAGCTCACAACAGATCTACCTTCAAACATTCATCGGTTATTGTGAAAAATGAAGTTTCGCTGTTAAGAAAATTCAAATGTTGGGTTAAAAAAATTTGTAAAAATTAAGCTAACGTTAAGTTTCTCCATAATTAATCCATTGTTGGGTAAAAAAAAATGTTATTGCATCAAACATATTATGTGCTTACAAATATTGCAAGTCATGCAGTAGTCATAGGTAATGTACACTAAAATGCTGGGTTGTTTTAACCCCAATGTTGGATAAAATATGGAAAACCCAACTGTTGGGTTAAAAACAAAGTCATTTAAATTTAATTTTAAATATTAGGTTAACGTTGGGTTTCTTTCTAATTGATCCAATGTTGGGTAAAAAAACTGTGTAATTGTATTAAACATTATATTTTATGCATACAAATATTGCAAGTCATGCAGTAATCATGGGTAATGTACAACGTCCTTTAGATTTAATTGAAAAAATTAAGTTATGTTGGGTTTCTTCATAATTGAGCCAATGTTGGGTTAAAAAAAACCAAACAACAGATGTTGTGTTAAAATCATTTTCCATATTTTTAACCTCTTATTTTTACAGAAGTTGTTTGAAACAATTTACTGCCTTTTTAAAAGTCTTTTTGTTTATAAACCCAAAATGCTGGGTTGTTTTAATACAATGTCGGATCAAATAAGGAAAACCCAACTGTTGGGTTAAAAGATGTTAACTCAATTGAAAACATTAAACGTTGGGTTTCTTTATAGCTGATCTAATGTTAGGTAAAAACAAATCTGTTGGGTTACAAATATTTACTACATTTTTAACCTCTTATTATTACAGAAGTAGTTTGATACAGTTTACTGCCATTTAAAAGTCTTTATTTGTTTAAAAACCCAAAATGTTGGGTTGTTTTAATACAGCTTTGGATCAAAAATGGAAAACCCAACATTATATTATATCAATACAAATACCTCAAGTCATGCAGAGTCATCATGGGTAATTTTAACTGTTGGGTTAAAAAATGACATTTAAAATTAATTAAACATTAATGTTGAGTTTCTTCATGATTAAAATCTGTATCGAACATTATTCGCTTGTTAAGTGGTGAAGTGTTTGTAACATATGTAATACTGTTTCCGGGTCCAAGCCGCCATTCATTTGAGTGGAGAAATCATTCGTTTATGATCACGTTTTATTCCTATCACACATTAAAGTTAATTTTATATAAAATCATAGTGTACACAACAATCTCTGGGCTTGCTGCATAACAAATACCAAAAATTTAACAATTTATAAAAAATTTATCACTTTCTGGCCATCGGATATTAGGCATGGACATATATATCGCGATCGTGATTTTCGAAATCGCTTTGTAAACGTTTATTATTAGCATTTCATGAGTCTCCCCATTCAGTTGAATAGAGCACTTGGACCGGAAGCCGCTTCATGTGACGTCACACTTAACAAGCGGATATTAAGCTGAATGCAAAATATGCATACACAAAAATTGCAGCTCATAATGTGTAATGCACAAAAACCTTCAAACATTCATCGGTGATTGTGAAAAATGTCGTTTCGCTATTGAGGAAACGAGTTTTAACTTCCGGAATCTGCCTGTTGAGCTTTATCATTTGTAATCTGATATATTGATTTACTCATTACAGATCGTTAATTAGGTTGTCAGACATGTCGTACTACACTTTTTGTGCGCTCAGGGTTAGTTTTATTAAGGAGAGAGCGCTTGCAGTTTAATTACATCTCATATCGCAGCAACTCATGAAGATGTGAATTTCTGCGGCTTCAGTTTCCCTCCATCTGGAGAGGATCAATATCACACAGTCTGCAGACATATGAAATATTACTACAAACTCTCGGTCAGGAATCATACGCTCTGAAATCTCGAGAATGATTTCGGTGCGCTCTGCCAATGTTTTGGGCCGTTCATTCACTCCTGAAGCAATAAATCAGCCTGACAAAGCTCTGACGCAGTGAGTTTATTTGCTTTTTCCAGACGCCTCCGCGGTAAACCTCTGGTTTCATCTCACCAAATGGCCCAGCAAGGATTCTCAGACTCCGAGAGACGCTTTAAAGACGGGAATCCAGACCGATGTGATGAGGTGACGTTTATGAGGCGTGAAGACTGTTTCAGCTCGGCTTCCGGAAGTAAAAATACCATCTCTTCTCCCCAAAGAGAAATCCATCTGTTTTAATATAACGGCATAATTCCTGGAGATGAGCTGCACAGCCAATGCTTATAAAGATATACAGTAGTTGCCTCATAATTAGTTGAGTTTTCACTATATTAGGTTACATTATTTACAGAAGACAGCATCTACAATGGCATTCAGAGTTACACTCCACAATAAAGTAGCATTAGGTGATGTATTTACTAACAAGAGTGAACAATATTCGTACGGCATCTATTGATCATTTAATAGTGGTTAACACTGTCGCCTCACAGCAAGAAGGTCAGCGAGTCCCGGCTGGGCCAGTCGGCATATTTATGTGGAGTTTGCATGTTCTCCCAGTTGACGTGGGTGTATGATTGTTTCCCAGCACTGGGTTGCAGCTGGAAGGGCATCCGCTGTGTAAAACATGCGCTGGATAAGTTGGCGGTTCATTCCGCTGTGGCGACCCCTGATAAATAAGGGACTAAGCTGAAGGAAAATGAATGAATTTAATAATAATGCAATATTCAAATTCAAAGTTGTGCTTGCTACTATTAGATATGTCAGTGTGAGTTACATGAACTAACATTAAAAACATTAATAAATACTGTAATAAATATATTGTTTATTATTTGTTCATTTTAGTAAATGCAGAGAGCATTTAGAA